ATATATATATAAACTTCTTTCTCACCCTCCCCTCATACTCCTGTGCGGGTAGGTGGTTCCTTGATCTCCCTTGAGAGCCCTTGGATATTATTGATTCTATATTCTTGGATAAAAGTGAGATGGTTGTGAATTTGTTTTCAAATTTAGAGGTTTATTTAGAAATAAAATCTGAATTGTCTTAAAAAAGTTTTTTTATTCCTCTACCGTGGGTTTAAAGGTCTGAGTATTATCATGTTCCACATTTTAAGAATCTCCCTGTTGCTACTTTTTTGCAACGTTTTAACAAATGTTTTTTAAAGAAAAGTCCCCTTCAGGGACCCAGAAAAAGCTAGATCATTTTGCCAGATCTGGCAATTCTGCAGAAGTTTCGGTTCTATATCATTAAGCTGGTTACAGAGCAAACCCTGTGGTCTACACGTTTGTGGTATTTACATAGGAGCCTATGTTGAGTAACTAAAAGCAAAAATTGCTTAATTCTCTTTCCTAAATCTAAAACATTGTTTGTATAGATAATATCTTGGTCTCATATTTCCTCTCTGCTGCAGGAGTTATGTTGAAATAGCATGAGATACTCTGAACTTTTCTTTTACAAGCTTAAAACATCACTAGTGATTCAGAAGATTAATTGGGTTTTGTAGGAACCATAGAAATGGTCATTAAACAAAATGTATGTGTGTAATGTAGTGTTTTATAAACAAACAGGTGCACCGAGCTGCTCGTCTGCTGCGGGGCGGATCTCTGCAACTTCGGTAAAGTTAGAAAGATAATCTGTGAATATCTTTCTAACTTTACCGAAGTCTTCCCCTGCTTAGTTTGAGAAATAATGTGTTTACAGTTATGCATGTTTCGACACATAATCATACCTGTTCTCTGAGATTGTGGTATGAATTTCATAAGTCTGGGACAATAAATGTGAAAATTAGGAGGGGAGGGAATATTCGGCAGATTCCAGGTTCTAAGTTTAACAATTAAAGTGTCAGACATGATCTAGAATGGTGTTGATAGCAAAATTGGGAATTGGCATCCACTGAGCAGAGAATTTATTCATCGCACACTGACTGAAGCACATCGTCACAACACGGACGTACAACAACCATACCATGCATGTTGTTTTAGGCTAATAGAATATGGATCTTTGGCGGAAGTTCAACTAAAGAAACAGATTGCTCTGCCAATCAGCTGTGAGCCACACCTGCAAGAAAGCCAATCAGCATCCAAAGTTCATCTTAAAAGGCCTCCGATCCGCAACTTGTCTGCTCCTGTGCGCAGGCGGTGGATGCGCTGTTTGACTTCATTCAGATGACCCCGTTTCAACCCACCTCCAGCCCCTCCTCCACCATCATAGCTGAAGCTTCATCAGAGTTTCATTCCTCCCGGACTCTTACTGCATTCAGCATCTCATCTTAACCGGCCCGGCAGAAGACCTCCGTTTTGAGCCTGGTTCTGCCAAAGGTTTCTTCCCAACAGGGAATTTTTCCTCTCCACTGTCGCTTCATGCTTGCTCATCATGGACAGATTCTCTCAACCTGTGTTATCCAGCTGGACTTCCATCTTCCAGGTCCCTGAGTGAAGCTCTAGTATCAGCTCATGCAGTCCACTGAATCTCCCCATAAAGCTCAGCAGACCGTCTCACTAACCAGCAGTCTACAGACTGACCAACTTCATCTATCTCCACTCCACCACCAGTTTTAGGCCTGGGGGGGAAACAGCCCTATTCTGTGCTCCTGTTCATGCATATCTATCAAAATTAAGTGCTATGTTTCCTGTCGAGGTCTGAGCGCCAAAGACAAAGTAATTGTATCAATAAAATTCTCCTAATTGTATTTTTTCTTTGTGTGAGTTTTTCAGATTTAAATATTAATTAGGCTAATTCCTTCATCCCCCTTCTTTTTTTCTTTTTTTTTTTTTTTTTTACAACTCGACTACTGCCTATAAGTATTCAAAAAGCAGGATTTTTTGACCACACAAATGCACTATTTATATATTTAAATATAATGAATTTTAAAGCACTTGTATATAATATAAAAATGCAATTAATGTACAAAGCAAAACATAAATCACTTATGGACTGTATTAAGAAGTTCCTTTGTTTTCCAGAAAATAAGTATAATTTTAGAGATAAATGTAAGTTCTCATTAGAAAAAGCAAATCAAAATGAGACATTTTTCTGTTCCTGGAGTTAGAATGTGGAACGCTGCCCCATAACCCTGTATGGAGGCAGGCATTCATAAGCTTTTGCTTCAGCCTAAGCCTTTCAGCCAAAGTAATGTCTATTTAAACACAATCTGTCTTTATTTTCTTATGTGTCTGAATAAAACTTAAAAATTTAAAATCAAGGTTTTTTTTATAATTAAACCTTTCTTTTTACAGAAAACTGAGCACTTCTGTTTATACTGATCTTCCTTAATTTGTACATTAATGATCTACTTCATAAAAAAAATATAAAAATGGAATTATGTTAAAAATATCTTTATGCGTCTTTCTTTCTGTAGAATGCTAAAATAGACAATACAGTTTAATTTCCCTCATTATGTTTCTGTTGTTTTCTGTGTTACAGAGGTACAGAGTAATACTGGTTGGGGAGTGACTTACAGCCGTTCTCAGGGGGGTATCTGTGCCTTAAAAGGATCAACGGTGGAAATGAAATGCGAGTATAGACACCCATATAGTAAAGATGGCACAACAACCAAAGTGCTGGAACAATTTTGGATTACTGGAAATGATCATGTCAGTTGTGCGACCAAGAAGGAGTATGAAAGGCGTGTGACAAACAGCTGTAGTAGGCAGAAGAAGAGCTGCACTTTGAGGATTACAGACCTGAAAGAAAGCGACTCAGCTGTTTACAAGTTTAGGTTTATTACTAACCTATCAGGTGGAAGCTATACTGGTAAACCAGGAATCCGATTGTCTGTCACAGGTTTGGATTTTTAATATTAAACAATAATATCATAGTTATCGTTGTGCTGTAAATCAAAAATTACATTTTTCTCCCCACAGACCCACATTTAACTGTTTCTGTCCAAAGGAAAGACTCATCATATTCCATTTTAACACTGAAGTGTTCCAGCTCTTGTCTTTTACCGCCTAAATCTACATATGTTTGGTACAAAAATGGACAGAAGATCGACCAGGATAAATCTACGTATTCAATCAATAGTGACTCTCTAGACAGCATATCCTGCGCTGTTAAAGGACACGAGGATTTCCCTGCTCCTTTAATATGTGAGTTTATTTCAACATCTTTATCCAAAACAGCTGAATCACTTNAGACATTTGAATTGAGAAAGCTTCCTGGAGAGGTGGCGAAACGTCTTCAAATCTTGAAAACCAAGTCCAGTGGATATTTTTTGAATTTTTACGGAATGACTTTGACCTGGATGACTGAGAACCTTCATCAGCACATTACAGATTTATGTCATAAAAAAATATAAAAATGGAATTATGTTAAAAATATGTTTATGCGTCTTTCTTTCTGTAGAATGCTAAAATAGACAATGCAGTTTAATTTCCCTCAATATGTTTCTGTTGTTTTCTGTGTTACAGGGGTTCAGAGTAATAATGGCTGGGGAGTGACTTACAGCCCTTCTCAGGGGGATATCTGTGCCTTAAAAGGATCAACGGTGGAAATTAAATGCGAGTATAGACACCCATCTAAATCAAGGCGCACCATAACCAAAGTGCTGGAACAATTTTGGATTACTGGAAATGATCATGTCAGTTTTGCGACCAAGAAGGAGTATGAAGGGCGTGTGACAAACAGCTGTTATGAGACTAAGGGGAAGAAGAGCTGCACTTTGAGGATTACAGACCTGAAAGAAAGCGACTCAGCTGTTTACAAGTTTAGGTTTATTACTAACCTACCAAGTGGAAGCTATACTGGTAAACCAGGAATCCAATTGTCTGTCACAGGTTTGCATTATTAAATATTAAACAATATTATAATAGATATCATTGTGGTTTTTATATAAAATTCAAATTTTCTCCCCACAGACCTACATTTAACTGTTTCTGTCCAAAGGAAAGACTCATCATATTCCATTTTAACACTGAAGTGTTCCAGCTCTTGTCGTTTACCCTCCAAATCTGCATATGTTTGGAACAAAAACGGACAGAAGATCGACCATGATAAATCTACGTTTTCAATCAATAGTGACTCTCTAGACAGCATATCCTGCGCTGTTAAAGGACATGAGGATTTCCCTGCTCCTTATTATGTGAGTTTATTTCAACATCTTCATCCAAAACAGCTGAATCACTTATTAGTGTCTCTTCTGAGATTTCAGGTTTTCTTTCATTTTGTTTCCATCTCCTCCAGATGCTCCAGTTTCTCCTTCTCTCTCAGCTGATCCCTCTGCTGACATATTTGAAGGCAGCTCAGTGACTCTGAGGTGCAGCAGTGAAGCTAATCCACCAGCAAACTACACTTGGTACAAGAAGACTAAAACTTCAACCCTTCAACCTCTCAGTCGAGGTTCAGAGTTTCTCCTGAATAATATCCAATCGTCTGACTCTGGTGAATACTACTGTGAAGCTGAGAACCAGCTGGGGAAAAGATCTACTAACCTAAATGTTGATGTGAAATGTAAGTAATAAAGCTGGTTTAATGATATTTCTTTACATTGAGCATCAGTCTGACTCAGTCACTCAG